TTGTTCTACCCCACTTTGCCTATGGGGGCGTGTCGAACTTATATGCTATAGTCTGTTTAGGCTGTAGTGGGGTAGTCCATATGGGGTACAACACTTTAGGGTTTTCTACTTGTACTCCTCATGCAGCTCAATGCAATCATTCCTTCCTCAGATTCTCACACAAGTGGCATGTCTAATAAGTTCCCAAGGATAAACGGCATTGGAGTACCCCATATGCATAATTGTTTTATTTGTGTTAGGATTAAGGACAGAGTCTAGGAAGATTAGGGGCCGTAATAACTCAAAAGCGCTGGACTTCAATTTTGGACAGAAAATTCGACTTCACTAGAAACGTTGTCGACAGAAACTTTCATCGTTATAACTTCACCAATTTCAGATATGTTGGAGTTCTAGTCTTTGGCTACAATTCCGAATTTGAATTGCATCAAAAGGTGAACTAAAACTCGAGTTACGAATTTCAGCGCAGTCGGGGGTATGCTCGAACTAAGAACTTAATTCAACCACAATTGTTCATCCCAAGAACTACACAAGAAGTTATACTTAGAAACAAGGTAGGAGGGGATGAGGAGGAGGACAAGGAAGGTCCCCAAGGAGTTCCCAACCAAGGAAATGCCACAATCACACCAAATTTCCTCTCTATAGTAACCCCTCTTTGACTTTTGTCATTTTCCCAACCCATGCCATCCACCTCACCCAAATTGGCCACACTTGTCAACCTGGTTTGGCTTCTCCCAACCACTTGGCAGCAACTACAGTGAAGTGACGAATTTCTCCAACCCCCAATGGTCTATACCCCATATAGAGTCACCCCAAAATTCCCAAAGTTGTCGCAACAAAATATCAAGAGCATACGAACTTCAACCATTCCTGACTTTCTCGTTCGTGCTCCGATTGAAGCGATCCTTGGTTCGTCAAAAAGCTATTGAGCAAGAAGTCATTTCAAATATCTGCTCAAACAAAATAACATTCATATACACTCAGAAAATCCAATCCACACCAAACACATTTTTCTTATGCACTCGTACAACACGATGCAATGTAGAAAGATAAGATGGGAGGCAGACAGACGTAAATGCATATGATAGTCACACAACAAACTCCCCCTCTAGCTGCGAACCATCATCCCACATGCCTCAGCTCATGCATGCACCATCAATGCATACGTATCCCAGCAGGCTTCATGCCCTTCCAGTGCTCAAGTTCAGCCAAGCGCTTGGTGAAAATGTCAGCCACCTGCTGCTGGGCTTTCACCACCTCTAGTCGAACCTCCTTGTCCAGAAGCCTCTTTGCCTTAAGCCACTTTTGCCTGATGTGCTTTGTCAGCCCATTCAGACAAGCATTCTTGGCCAGCTTCACATCAGACTCATTGTTACAGAATATCACTGTTGGCTCCCTCTGACACACCCCGATCTCCTCCAACAACTGCCTCCTTGGCCCCATGATGAAGGGCCATGTACTCAGTCTCGCATGAGGACAGCCCCACCTCATTCTGCTTCTTGATGCACCAGCTCACTGCATCGCCTCCAAACATGCACACATAGCCTCCAATGCTGGTTCCATCCGCCTTCGCAAAGTTGAAGCTAGCATCAGTGTAGCAGGTCAAGAGCATCTCCCCCTTGCTCAAATCAGCTGCACCCCGCTGCAGCCTCTGTCGCATGGCTCTGTACTCCAAGCCAACTGATGTCGTTGGACTCACATAGCGAATAAACCTCTTGGCCACTTCTAGCTGCTTATGGCTGGGGCGTGAGACCTCCCTCGCAAGCCTCAATGTAGCAAAATCAGCGCTAACCTACAGGGGAGATCAGAATGGCGTGATGACACGAAGGGTAGATTTCGGGCTGTTACTCTTGACTTAGTTGTTGAGTTAGCAGAATCCAAGTATAGATTTCACTAAGAAAACAAAAAAAAAAACAAGTAAGAGAACAAGAAAACATTGAACCAATATACTAAAAGAAGGAACCCTGCAGAAACGTTTCAAGGGGAACGTTTAAATAACTACCATGTATGTGCTACGCCAACTCAGCAATGGCAGGTAAAAAAACAGCCCATTTATTTCTCGCCTAACTAAGTAGTTGCCCAGGTTGTACATTCACAGTTGTGCACGTTTTTTTTGCTACAAATACGTGTAGCAGGTTCTCTTTTTGTCACTGGTTCAATTCCTACTGGCGGGTACAATTTCTGCCAAGAATTGATTGGTCGAAATTCGCGCACATCGAATTTCTTATCGACATTCTTCTGTGCGTTCGTGAGGGTGCACAGGGGTTACCGCGACCCTGCGCAAATGAACTACTACGATCTTCTGCACCTGCTTGCGCCCCCTGCACCTATGCACGAGATGTTGCTGCTGCATCCGCGAATGCTACACTTGCTCATGTACGGGTTCCCTCGTACACCTCGTGTACAGCCAATTCTTCACCTCGTGCCAGAGGTCCTTGGCCCAGCCTGCGCAAAAGCTCAAGATCCCACCCATGCACATGCAGGGCTCTTCTCAACAGATACCATACTGGCAAGCCTGGATGTATCAAAAGCAATGTCAGGCCTCGTGTGATTTGCCACATAGTTGAATGCCCCAACCATAGAATGGAACAGCTTCCGGTCACTCTCACCCACCACCTCCTCATCACCATAGGGCCCCAACTATAGTGGGGTTGCTGGCTTTCCTCCATCCTGCAGCCCATAATTCTCAGCCAGCCCCTCACAGTACTTCCTCTGGCTCAACCTCAACACTCCCCTGCCAAGGTCCCTCTCCACATGCATCCTTCACTGTTAACGGGAATGGAGTGTTGGCCCCGCCCTCACTTGGGCAACGCCGACGACTTGGTCGGATGTACGGGAGTAGCAGCCGACCGTTCACAGTGGGAGAGCTGCTAGACAGGCTTCGTCGAGCTGCAAGGGACCGCTGTGGTATTTCTGTCGACTGGGGAGCTCGACAGCTGCAACTGACTGGTCTGGGCGACGAGTGGGACGTCGACCTGGTCCTGCAGCTCGACCGGGAGGTCTCCGAAGCATCCCGTCGATTTGCAGCTCGACCGGAAGGTCTCCGGAGCATCCCTTCGACTTGCAGCTCGACCGGAAGGTCTACGGAGCATCCCGTCGACTTGCAGCTCGATCGGAAGGTCTCCGGAGCATCCCGTCGACTTGCAGCTCGACCGGAAGGTCTCCGGAGCATCCCGTCGACTTGCAGCTCGACCGGAAGGTCTCCGAAGCATCCCGTCGACCTACAGCTCGACCGGGAGGTCTCCGAAGCATCCCGTCGACCTGCAGTTCGACCGGGAGGTCGACGGAGCAGTCCGTCGACCTGACAAGTGAGCAGCGGTCGACGAGGGGAGCTCGGCAACAACCGCTGATGGTTCTGGTTGACGAAAGGGGTCTGTCAACCAGGGGGTAGTTTGACGGGAGTTGTGGTCGACCAGAGGCACCTGGTGGTCGACCAGAGGGACCTGGTGGTCGACCGGAAGCGCCTGGGGGTCGACCAGAGCACCAGGGGGTCGACCGGGTCGACCGGGTAACCTGCTCGACGAGTTCTGCGGAGGCACGCGAACGTCGTCGAGGTCGCGATGGCGCAGGCGACTGCGGGCTGGTATCCCGAAGTCGATGTGGCTCGTCAGGTGCAGACAACAGCCGACGGATGCCCAATGAGGCAAGTCGGGCCAATCGTCTGCGCGCACCTGTGAGCGTGCACACTGCTGTGTTCTACGGGGCAACGCTGGACAGCCGCTCTGCTGCAGCGCTGGCACGCCGCCGACCCGCTCTGTTGGCAGGTCGCCTTTCCGCAGTGCTGGCGCGGCTCCTCTACGCAACGCTGGCAGGCGGTCGACCAAGCTGTGCTGGCGGTCGACCTGGCTAGCTGCAGGGTTCCTAGGTGCCTGATGTAGTCATTTTTGCGATTGCTTGTTCAATGATTCTGTAATTTCGCCTTTGCCTAGTGGAAACTCTTGCCAATTTCCCCTGTGTATGCGCAAGCACTAACGAACTAAGCAAAGCTACGATCACCTCTAGTTATTCGTGCCAACCCCCGCAGTCTAGCTCATTACTATTGTAGAGTGAATCTCCGCATTCGCATCCCTGATCTTCGAGCACTTGAAGTGCATCTCCAGCAGCTCCTCCATGCGGTCAATCATAGCAGATGACTCAGAGAAGAGAAGAATGTCGTCCACATCCACCAGAACCATGAAGAACCACTGATTCTCTTGCAGCAAGAACGAGCTGTGACCACACTCGCTCTTCTTGAATTCCCCAGCCAGCAGTGTCTCCTCTAGCTGGTGATACCATGCGCAAAGAGCCTGCTTCAAGCCATAGATATCCTTCTTCAGCCTGCACTCCTGCCGCTCCCATAGTCCAATCCCACAGGCTGCAACATGTACAACTCCTCCAGAATGATCCCATCGAGAAAAGTAGTTGTGATATCCATCTGCTTGATCCTACATCCACGGTTTGCAGCTGTTGCCAACGTCACCCTCAGAGTCGTGCCTTTCCCACAGGAGAAAACCTTAATGTAATAGTGTCGGAATAGTGTTTGTAACAGGTATGAGAGGTGATGAAAAGGAAAAAATTGTTTTCACCCTTAACCCAAAACCTTGGATCAGTGTTTTCACAGCTATTGGTGACTCCTATATATGCTTCACACACCTGTTTGTGCCTCTTGTCATTGGCTCCAGAATTGCGGGAGTCGAATAGGCACATCAGCTTTTCCCTGACAGTTTGTGAGTCCATCCAATCAAAGGACTGACTTCGATTTCGCGGGAAAACGTCGTATTTGAATATTCGCGAGTGTGGAAGTTGATGCGGCTCGGAAAGGGGTTTTAGCAAACAGTTGGGAGGGAGATCACAGCAGAGGCTGACGCATCCCACGATATCAGCACGATTTACAGGAATGCTGGGCAGATGTCCCAGTGACACTTCATTTTCTTGCCCGCTACAGTCTGGTTAGCCAAAAAGCTTCCTGTCGCTACTGACGGGCAGCAGTAGACTTCTGACCTTGGGCAGTTCGCACGCACCGCATGGCTTGCCCCAAAGCGACGCGTGACCCCAACATCAAGGTTTGATCGAGCCGCGCCGTCACCTCCACTCAATCTCACCAGGTGCGAGGAAAGTGGTGTGTCTTTTGCTTGCGTAAAGCCCAGGCTTCCAACTTCAGCGAGCAGTAGGAAGCTGTCATTTTCCATTAGTTGTCACCAGCACTCATCCCCAGCCACATTGCTTCTCCACAACTACATTGCATACGGAAGCCCATGGCTCTTCAGAGAAATAGCACATCGTCAGTGAATATTTTTTCCTCCCAGCTCTTCCCAACCGTACGGAAAAGAAAGCTTGTTTTTGGCTCCGAGTCCATTCCCGAGCGGTCTATTCGCATTCGTCCCAGCCTGGACGCCAGTTATACCAGCCCGATTTTTGGCACCGCAACAGGCCGTTTCGACGACTACTTTGCTCTATGCTCCACCACTCCCCTGGGGTCCGGCAGATTTGGCGCCGTGCGTAAATGCATTTGCAAGGCGACGGGGGAGGCCTTCGCGTGCAAAACGCTGCAGAAGAAAGAGTTGATCGGCGAGGCTGGGCGGGATGACGTGCGTCGCGAGGTTCGCATGTTGCAGCAAGTGGCAGGCCACCCCGGGATAGTTCAGCTGCACGCGGTATTTGAGGACGAAAAGGAGGTGCATCTGGTTACCGAGCTTTGCGATGGTGGCGAGCTCTTCGACGACGTCGTGCGACGCGGGCGTCTGCCTGAGAAGGAAGCGGCGCAGGTGTTCATGCAGGTGGCATCGGCTGTCGCATTCTGCCACTCCCGCGGCATTGTGCATCGCGACGTGAAGCCCGAAAACATCTTATTGTGCTTCAATAGGAGCCTTGGCCCAGCTGCGGAGAAGAAAACTGAAGTTTTCTCTCCCACTGGCATGGCCCCACCGCGTCCCACTTCCGCGAGCCCCTCCCCTTCTTCGATCGCAAACCCCGCTGCGCGTAAGAGCGCGTTCGTCCCCGAGCCCGCTCCGCATCTACGCGTGAAGCTCGCGGATTTCGGCCTCGCGCTGAGCATCGGCCGCGACGGTCGCACGCGCGGCGCGGCGGGCTCGCCGTACTACATGGCGCCGGAGGTGTTCACCGGCGAGTACGGCTGCTCGGCCGACGTGTGGTCGCTGGGCGTCGTGCTCCACGTGCTGCTGAGCGGCGGCGTGCCGTTCTGGGGCGACGACGAGGCGGCCACGATCCGCAGCGTGCTGCACGGGCGGTTGGATCTGGGGGAGGAGTCCGCGGCGTGGGAGGGAGTGTCGGCGGAGGCGCGCGGGCTGATTCGGTGCATGCTGGAGAGGGACCCGCGGCGACGCCCGTCCGCCAGCAAGGTGCTCTCGCACCCCTGGCTGCTGCTGCACGCCTTCGGCGGACGTATCGTGCGGAAGGCTGTGCGCGGAGAGGCAGCACAAGCTGCCGCCGCGCAGAGCACCGCGCGTTCCGCGCTGAATGAGCATGCGCGCGCCCAAGCAGCGCAAGCAGCCGCGGCAGATCTCGTCGGGGCTCGGCGGGGTGGGAGGGCGATGGAAGCGGAGCAAGCTGCAGCGTTTGCCACAGCCAGTGGATCCGCTTCGCCTACCTGCGCTGTGCGCGCCGAGAGACGTGGGCAAGTCAGCCATGGTGCAGCGCGCGTGCAGGCGTCAGCATGAACTTGTAACGGGTATTGCGCTTGTCTTGAAGGCACCCTTTCCAACCCAGGGGTCAGGAACGGAGGTGTAGTGCAAGGCTCGGGTCAGCAAGGGAACAGGCAGAAAATAGTCAAAATTGTTCAAGAAAGCAGTCGGCAAGTCCCGGGGATGAGTTTTTTCCAGTGGCTCCTCTCCCTGGCTTTGGCTGGTGGATAAGCATATGGGCTTTGGTTATGCTGCCATGCTTGGCGCTAGAAGTTCATGGACTAGGAGACTAGAGAACGAGGCTTGTGGTTGCAGGCTTGACGGAGAAATATGGCATTTCCAGGCCTGTTTAGGGGTGGTGGTGCAATGCAGAGGTGCAAATCGGCAAACCTATGTTTGCTGTTGCCCTCTCATACTCCTGATTTATTCTTAGAGTTGTGATGTTATTTATGGTGTAGCTGGTTTTGCTGTTTTCAGAGCCTCCCTGAACCAACCCCAAGTCGTCTCCGCACCAATCACCACAATTCCAACCCTCGCATGTCCTGAGGTCCTTGCCTAGCCACAGGTGTTAAAACCCGCGTCTCATATTTCACAATACCCAACCAAGTGTAATACGCTTGATAACGAGTAACCCCGCCTTCCGTCGCCGAACTGCACTTTTGCTTTGTACAGGTTTGGGGGTGGTTGGGAACGTGCAAATTGGCGAGCTACAGTGTTGTCACCCCCGCTGTCAAACCCAACCTGCGCTCCATGATCCCTGCAGGCGACTGTAAATGCATCACACGATGGTCAACTGCGTGTCTGTGGCTCCGTGCGACACCAAAACTCACAGCACACTTCATCCAAAAGCCAACCATGTCAGAATCAACTGTGCAGGAATGGTTGGATTATCAAGAGTTGGGGTACTGTTGGAAACAGTTGTAGTTAAAGCCCGCATGCAAAATAGTGACCCCCCCCCTTCTAGTTGGGTCCACTTGATATACTGATTCAGAGGTTTTGTTTGTAGGGTGTAATGTGTTGTAGTTTTTTGGGTTGCGAAGCAACCCTTTACGATCGATTTAGACAAATTTTCTTTTCATGTTTATTTTTTAACACGAAAATAAAATTCGTAAGCTACAGAACCAACCTTCCCATTGTACATATATTAAACTCGTAATTTTTCTGCAGTATTTTTATTCTTATATGCTATACTAGTATTTGCATTATGTCTTTTACTGTTAATGTTACGAATATTAGTAATGAAATACACACCACACATGCTTAAATGAATGTAATACAGCGAGATATATAAATGCATAATACTGATTTATGGATAAAAATGCTTTTGCGTGAAGCGAAATGCTGAAATGCTACATACGGTATATCACACAAATGCGTGATAATTAACGACCCAAAAACTAGGCTACCGCATCCCCTGCCTAGCATGGGGGGGAAGTCAATAGCAAAGTCTTTGAATAATCAACTAGCACATGAAAAAATACAATCTGTTAACTCTAAAAAAACAGGGTATCAAATCCAGTTCGAAGTGGCAAACACACGAGTCATTGAGTGCGCCAATGAACCAATGAGAAATGATAGACATGAACCCCCTTTTTAAAATTGACAGACATGCATTGATATTGCAATGATAGATGAGATGCACTCACACAAACAAACACATTCACTCAATAAAAAACACGAGCTCTGGCAAACCCAGCCAAAAAACACGCAAATTGAGAAAGCTTGCTTTCTGTTCGTGCAAAGGCAACTGGCTTCATTACAATTGCAGTAATACAACATTCTCGTCCAACTATGGATCATACAAATATTGGTACAACTAGTGAGGTTTGTCTTAGGGGGTACAGAAGTTAGGGTTTGTCATATGTACCCCAACCAACATCAATGCAACACTCATTCCTCATTCTGACATGGTATCAGCTAGGTTAGGATCCTGTGGGATCCCGTTCCTCCGTTCTCCGTTCGTACCTCCCGAGCCTGATCCTACCTCTCGTTCGTACCAGTTTAGTTGTTACCGCGCCTAGTACCGAGCCTAGCATCATCTCCCCCGTCGCGTCGCGCCCGTTCCCCCCGTCGCGTCGCGCCCGTTCCCCCCGTCGCGTCGCGCCTGTTCCCCCCGTCGCGTCGCGCCCGCCTGTTCCCCCCCTGTCCCGTCGCGTCGCCCTGCCCTGTCCCGTCGCCCTGTCCCGTCGCGTCGCCCTGTCCCGTACCGTCGCCCTGTCCCGTCGCGTCGCCCTGTCCCGTCCCGTCGCGTCGCCTTGTCCCGTCGCGTCGCCCTGTCCCGTCCCGTTGCGTCGCCCTGTCCCGTCCCGTCCTGTCCCGTCGCCCTGTCCCGTCGCGTCGCCCTACCCCGTCGCGTCGCCCTGCCCTGTCCCGTCGCCCTGCTCCGTCGCGCCGCCCTGCCCCGTCGCGTCGCCCTGTCCCGTCGCGTCGCCCTCCCCGTCGCGTCGCTCCCGCCCTTTCCCCCGTCGCGTCGCCCTCCCTAGGCCCTAGCCCGTCGCCCTCCCTAGGCCCTGGCCCGTCGCCCTCCCTAGGCTCTGGCCCGTCGCCCTACCCTAGGCCCTGGCCTGTTGCCCTACCCTACGTTTTGGCCCGTCGCCCTAGCCCGCTCTTCCGCTGCGACTGAGTCCTCTTCCCCCCCGGTTGTTACTCGCCTGTTCGTTCGCGTTGGTTCTCACTATGGCGACTCCGCGAGTTCTTCGTTTCGACGCTGACGGTAGACCCCTTGACTTTTCCGTCTGGCTTCTTCGCGCTCGTCGTCTGTTAGAGAGTCAGGTCCAGGGGGGCGAGACCCTCTGGTCACACGCTACTGGTGACCTCCCCGAGCCCCCCGAGCCTACCGCTTTAGGCCCTGCTCCTGACGACGCTGCTACGGCTCGCTTTGCCCGTCAGCGCGCTGACCGGACGGCTTGGACGTCGCGTGACGCTGCGGCCTGCATCGCACTCAGCAGCCTCCTCCCTGAGTCCGAGGAGGTCCACTTTACTCAGGTTCGCACCGCTGCTGCGTACCTCACTGCGATTAAGGCCCGCTACTCTACTCCCGCTACTGTCTCTCTCGGCCGTCTTTTCCTCCCGTTCCTGTTTCCTGATCTTGCCTCGTTTGAGCGCTCTGCTGACTTGATCGCTCACCTCCGCTCGCTCGACGCTAGTTACCGCGCTGCTTGCACTGAGGCACAGCTTGCACTGCTTCCTCCCCCCATGGCGATTACTGTCTATTTCATCGCCACTAGCCTCCCTGACCGCCTTGCCTCCGTTCGTGACGCGCTTCTGCTGAAGCACCCTAGTGAGCTGACTATCGAGGTCCTTGAGTCTGCACTCAAGGACGTCGAGAGCAACCTTCGTTCGGTAGCTGCCGCCTCTGGTACTGTGTCCCCCCCACTCTTCCACGGGTGCACAGTCCCGCAGTTACCCACCTTCACTGCCTCTCTTGCCACTGCCGCTACTGACGCGACTGCGGCTGCTGTTACGACTGCGTCGCGGTCCCGCGGCAGGGGGGGCAAGAAAGGTGGTTCCGGTGGAGGTGGAGGCGGAGGTAGCGGAGGTAGTGGGGGTGCTGTTGCGACTGGCGGTGGTGGGAGTGCAGCGTCTGGAGAGACCCCTCGTGCAGCGGCTGGTGACTCCACTGCACCTGCTGGTGGCGGCGACCCTCGAGCTCGTCAGTCGCCTCCTGTACTGCCGGCCCCGCTAGGTGGAGCAGCGGCGTGGTACCAGGCTCAGCGTCAGCAGCACCTTCAGCAGCAGCAGCAGCCCCTTTCCTCCCAGCAGCCTCAGCAGCAGCAGCGTCAGCAGCTGGCTCCGGGGTCGGGGCTGCGTCAGCCCCAGCGCGGTGCTGCTTACCCTCCCTGCCCCTACCAGGTTCAGACAGGTCCTCGTCGGGGCCACCCTTGTGGCCGCTTTCACCCCCCTGGTCAGTGCTTTGCTCAGCTCACTGACACGGTCCGGTTGACCTACGGGGTTGGCGGTCCTGCTCCTGACTGGCTTCCTCTGGTTCAGCGCCACGGCTCCGCTCTGTGGGGCATGTCTGCTGAGCAGTTAGTTGATCTGATTAGTGCTCCTCATGCTATGTATGCTGTTGTTGACTCTAGTGTTTTTGACTCTGTTTACTCTGGTGTTGTTAGCTTAGGTGCTAGTCTTGCTCAGTTGCCTGTTGCTAGTGTAGGTACTTGTGTAGACTCTAGACCAGCGACTACCTCAGAGGACGCTTCGCTGTCGTTCACACTGGACTCTGGAGCCTCCCACTGCTTCTTTCGGGACAGCACGACACTTACACCACTTCCTGCGCCTGTTTCTGTAGCGTTGGCTGATCCCACTACGGGACCAGTCACTGCACGTCACACTACCACTTTACCGTGTCCTGCTGCTCCCTCCGGGTCTCTCACTGGGTTTCACGTCCCCTCGTTCTCCCGGAACTTGGTGGGCGTGCGACCCCTCGTGAGTCAGCACGTGGGTGTGTGGTTTGAGCCTTCTGGAGAGACTGCGGTGTGTGTTGACGGAGACTCTTACCAGCCTCTTGCTACCTTTACTGCTGAGCCGGGCTCGGGTCTCTACACTCTTCACACTGGCCCGCGTGCGCCGCAGCAGCAGCCGCAGCAGCAGCAGCAGCAGCCGCAGCAGCAGCAGCAGCAGCAGCAGCAGCAGCAGCACCAGCGGCCGCACCAGCAGCCCCCCCTACTGCCACTGCCCCCGGTTCCCCCCCCCGTTCGGGTCCCCGCGTCTCACCAGGTTGCTACGTCCCCCCAGGTGTCTGTGTCGTGTCAGGTTCCTACGTCTGTTCCAGTCGCTGCGTCGTGCTCCTGCCGGTCGCTTGCCCACCCCACCGTTCTGTGGCACCACCGGATGGGGCACCCGTCCCTTCCACGTCTGCGCGCTATGTCTAGTCAGCGTCTTGTCCTAGGCCTCCCACGTGTCTTGCCGTCGCTGCCGCCTTCGCCTGCGCCGCCGTGTCGTCCCTGCGTCGAGGGTAGGCTGCGCGCCACCCCTCACTCCTCCTCCCTTCGTCCGGCCACCGAGCCTTTTGAGACGCTTCACTTGGACGTCTG